TTAGCTGGATGTGGTGGCATGTGCTTAGAATCCTAGCTACTCAGGAGGCTGAGGCAGGAGAATCACTTGAACTCAGGAGGCAGAGGTTGCAGTGAGCTGAGATTGCACCACTGCACTCCAGCCTAGGTGATAGAGTGAGGCTCTATCTAAAAAAAAAAAAAAAAAGATCTTTTTTTCAAATATGATAGTAATTGCAATAAGTATAAATAGTTTAAATTAGCCTATTATAATACCAGCCTATCAGACTGAATTAAAAATACAGCTATATTCTGCTCATAAGAGACATGTAAAGCAAAATGGTGTGGAAAGATTGAAAGTAAAGGAATAGAAAAAGATACGCTGGGAAAATACTCACCATAAAAGTTGGCATAGCAATAGTAATATCAGACAAAATAAAATTTTAGGACCAAAAGACTAGGGAGAGTGTGTACTTCTTTGTAACCTGGAATACTTCTTTCCCACTCCTGATGTTTCCTGTGGCATAGAGGGAATACTTTTGTGTAACACCCGTGGTTCTTTTTGTCCTCTCTGATTGGTGTATTTGGGAGCAAGAACTCACATGTGTAGCCGTTTTCCTTCCCCCTTTCCTCTTGGATCCAGCTGCCCGGAGGGTGGGCTCCTGTGCAGTAAGTCTCACCTGAGCAGCCCCAGGGAAGGGGCTTGCCCATGGCCAGCATTGCCTGTGACTAGGTGGGTAAGTTGGGCTAATTCTGGCGTTAGTTAGACGCATTTCATCTGCACACTAAGCTGTGTGCTCCCACGTGGTCTTCATCAATCACAAGGGAGTTCTTTTGACTCCGAACACCTTATTCTGTTATTTGTTTGCTTTTGAATTTCCTCAGAAACTGGGTAGGGAAAGATCCCTTTTTCTTGGTCCCCTAGAGGCCCTGGGCTCTGTGATGATGAAGAGGACACGTTCTGTTCCTCTTTATCACCCAGATGTTCTGTGAACGCGTTCTGTTCACAGTTATTAACTGGTACTTAATAACACGGTCTTGAATTTAAAAAAGCAAAACAGCAATATAAGAAGTAGACAAATACTCAGTTACAGTGGGAGATTGTGACATTTCTGAGAAACCAGTGGCTTGAGCAGGCAAAAAGTTGTGAGGATGTAGAAGACTTGAATGATACATTAATGAATTTCATCTTGGGTAATGTATTTCTGCTCTTAAAAAAGAAAAAAATACATTTTTTCAAGTCCATGTAGCATAGGAAAAAGTAAAAGTCCATGTATTAAAGTCAACAAATTTCTTTTTTTTTTTTGAGACGGAGTTTCGCTCTTGTTACCCAGGCTGGAGTGCAATGGCGCGATCTCGGCTCACCGCAACCTCCGCCTCCCGGGTTCAGGCAATTCTCCTGCCTCAGCCTCCTGAGTAGCTGGGATTACAGGCACACACCACCATGCCCAGCTAATTTTTTGTATTTTTAGTAGAGACTGGGTTTCACCGTGTTGACCAGGATGGTCTCGATCTCTTGACCTCGTGATCCACCCGCCTCGGCCTTCCAAAGTGCTGGGATTACGGGCGTGAGCCACCGCGCCTGGCTAAAGTCAACAAATTTCAAATATATCCTTTAGATTATGTTCCCTGAATATAAGACAAATCGTCAACAATTACAATACTGGAGGGAAAAAAATCTCATATTTGGAAAGTTAAAAAAAAAGACTTTAAAAAATAAATCATGGACTGAAGAGGAAATCACAAAAGAACTGACAAAATATTTAGAACTAAATGACAGTGAAAATACTACGTATCGAATTGTGTGGGATACAGTTAAAGTGGTACTTAGAGATGTATAGTTGTCAATGCACTTCAAAAAACATCAAACGAGTAAGTATGTAGGTCAGGAAGTTGGAAAAAGAGTACTAGAAAAAACTCTGAAGAAAATAGAGGTGAAAAAGATAAGAACAGACTTGTGAAGTAGGAAGCAAAAATAAAAAAGGAGAGAGATGGTGAAAGAAAAAACCCGAAAGGTGTCTCTTTGAAAAGACTAGTAAGATTGATAAACCTCCAGCTAAAACTGCTAAGGAGAAACAAGGAAAAGCTACAAACAGGCCGGGTGCCGTGGCTTACACCTGTCATCCCAGAACTTTGGGAGGCCGAAGCAGGTGGATCACTTGAAGTCGGGAGTTTGAGACCAGCCTGGCCAACATGGTGAAACCCCATCTCTACTAAAAATACAAAAAGTTAGCCAGGTGGGGTGGCAGGCACCTTTAATCCCAGCTACTTGGGAGGCTGAAGCAGGAGAACCTGGGAGGTGGAGGTTGCAGTGAGCCGAGATGGCGCCATTGCACTGCAGCCTGAGCAACAAGAGTGAAACTCTGTTTCAAAAAAAAGATACAAACAAATAGTATTACATCAGTAAAGGTGAGGACACAATTGCAGAGAGGAAGTCCTCAGAGAATGCCGAAAACAACTTTGTTTAAATGTGCTCAATGAATGCTTTTATATAAAAATATAAATGACCAAAATTGACTCCTTAAGGAGTAGAAAACCTAAACATTCACCACTAAAGAATTAGAATAGTAGCCAAAAGTATCCTCCTATAAAAACAGCCGGCCCAGAGATGTCACAGACTAGCTTTGGCAAACCTTTAAGGAATAGAAAATCTCTATATTATACAAGGATCAGGCTGGGCGCAGTGGCTCATGTCTGTAATCTCAGCTCTTTGAGAGGCCAAGGTGAGTGGATCGCTTGAGGTCAGGAGTTTGAGACCAGCTTGGTCAACATGGTGAAACCCGGTCTCTACTAAAAATACACAATTTAGCTGGTTGTGGTGGTGCACATCTATAATCCGAGCTACTCGGTAGACTGAGGCAGGAGAATCGCTTGAACCCCAGAGGCGGAGGTTGCAGTGAGCCGAGATTGTGCCACTGCCCTCCAGCTTGGGCGACAGAGCGAGACTCTGTCTTTAAAAAAAAAAGGATTAGAAGCTATCCAGCAATTTCACAAGGATGGAATAACACCTTGATATCAAAACCTGGCAAGGGAAGCACAAGAAAATAAAAAATAGGCCAGTGTTGCTTTTGAACAGAGATGTGAAAATCTAAATAAAATACAGTAGTCTCCTCGTATTCGTGGGGTAGACATTCCAAGACCCGTAGTGGATGCCCGAAATGTAAGATAGTCCCAAACCTGACTGTCATCAACGGAAACACATTTCTGTTTATATCTTTCACCCACACATTTAATCCTCTTTTCATCTTAATTAAGTATTTATGCACTGTGGCCATAACTTTTGCAGTTTGAGGTGCAACAGCAAAACTAGCAATAACTTCTTTTTCCTTCTTCACAATTTCACAGACAGAGAATTCTTACCATGGATCTCAGCAACCTTAGCATATAAGTTTTTTCTTTCCTTATTAAGAACTTTCACCTTTTTACTTAAAGGAGGCACTTAACAGTTTCTTTCTGTCATGTTTGAATTGACAGCATCACTCATGGACCATGGACTTCAGGGCCGTTATTAGTATGATAAGGGTGCCTTGAGCACAAGCAGCGAGATGCTGCAACAGCCAGTCTGATCACTGAGATGGCTGCCAAGGGACTGATGTGTGGGGCGTGGGTACGCTGGACAGAGCAAGAATTCACGTCCCAGGTGGTTGGAGTGGGACGCTGGAAGATTGCATTATGCTATTCAGGACAGCACAAAATTGAAAACTTATGAGTTACTTCTGGAATTTTCCATTTAATATTTTTTTGGCTGTGGTTGACTGCAGGTAACTGAAACTGTGGGAAACAAAACCATGGATAAGGGGGACTACTGTGTTAATAAATTGAATTTGGCCGGGTGCAGTGGCTCACGCCTGTAATCCCAGCACTTTGAGGAGGCTGAGGCGGGTAGATCACCTGAGGTTAGGGGTTTGAGACCAGCCTGGCCAACATGGTGATACCCTGTCTCTACTAAAAATACAGGCGGGCACCTGTAATCCTAGCTACTCGGGAGACTCAGAATTGCTTGAACCCAGAAGGCGGAGGTTGCAGTGAGCTGAGATTGCACTCCAGCCTGGGCAATAAGAGTAAAACTCTGTCTCAAAATAAATACATAAATAAAAATAAAAAATAAATAAATTCAGCAGGATATTAAAAATAATACGTCAGAAGTAAGTGGACTTTTACCCATGGAATCAAAAAATGGCTCAACAGAAATGTAATTCACCAGGTCAACAGATTAAAAACCATATGGTTATCTCCTCAGATGCAGAAAAGCATTCAGTAAAATCCAGCATTTTCATAATGTGCTAAATGAATGAAGGGAACAGGCTAAATTTAGACTCTCATGGTGAATCCCTTTATAAAGCAGATTCCATCCCATTTATATTTTGAGTAAACGCAGATTTTCAAATACTAGGTTTTCTTTTCATAAAGGCTTAATTTCATGACAAAACCCAAATATATCCAGAAGCTGTGCTCAGTTCCTTGGGAGAACACAAAAATGTATAAACAAACCAAAAAATAATGGGGACCTTATTTGCATTTCCCATATTTCAGTGGCAGACAAATGTATCAGGCGCATTCTTTAAGTAGCCACCTCCCAGCATACCTAAGTGCAAGTGCGTGCCCAGCGTATGTCGGGCCAAACGAGGCCGATCTGGCCTCAGGGAGTCCTCAGGCAAGTACTTTGTATGCCGTGATCTCAGCTGCTTTCCTCATTGACTGTTTCTTTTCTTTTTTTTGAGACAGAGTTTCACTCTTGTCACCCAGGCTGGAGTGCCGTGGCAGGATCTCGACCCACTGCAACCTCTGCCTCCAGGGTTCAAGCGATTCTCCTGTCTCAACCTCAGAGTGGCTGGGATTACAGGCACCCGCCACCACACCTGGCTAATTTTGTATTTTTAGTAGACACGGGGTTTCTCCATGTTGAACAGGCTGGTCTTAAACTCCTGACCTCAAGTGATCCACCCACCTCGCCCTCCCAAAGGGCTGGGATGACCGGAGTGAGTTACCACGCCTTCCTTGACTATTTCTGAGGGATGTCGTTTTTTCTCCCGTCTCGTGCAGGTCCAAAGTGAAGACGGTGCATGAGCGGATCCCCTTGGTTGGACTGAGCAAGCTTCCCAGTGTCCCTCAGATTGCAAAGGTGAGAAATTAACTTGTCAGAGAAGGTGGCTTCCTCTTTCAGCCCAGGGCTGGCCTCTGGAGTAGGGGTGCAGGTGTGTCCTGGGTAGGCTCAGCCCTTGGGGAAGGGGAGGCCACTTTACTCTGGCCCTTGATGACATGGATGGGAGCTGGAGGGGGGCTGTGGGTAGATGCCTCTGTCTTTCCTTCCCACTCCCCAGCTCATCCTTGGTGTGGAGGCTGCTCAGGAACAGTATCACCTATGGTCTCCACCTCCATGTAGTTCACAGCTAGTTTGGGAGGTGAGAGAAGTGGAAAAACGGGGCTGGATGAGGTGAGCGCCATAGGACGTCAGTGGAGGAGTGGGGATGGGGCTGCCAGGGGAGCCTTCACAGCAGAGGGGAGGCCTGAGTTGGGCTGAAGGATGCTCCAGATTGACCACCCCCTTGAGTGGTCGAACTTGAGCCTGCGAACTTGGGAACTGAGTTAGCAAAGTGGGGTGAGCAGGATAGTCAGCTGGGTTGGTTGGATCCTCACTCTGGGAGCAAGAATGTCACAGAATTGTGCTGAATACCTTTGGTGGCAGTTGTGGGCTGGGTAGCTTTTGGCATTGTCATCAGGCCAGAATGGAGACAAGTCTCAGGCTTTGTCTGATCCCTTCTCGCACTTTACCGGCAAACCCCAGAAAGGCGAGTTGACATTCCTGGGCACCCATTAGTGAGCAGCAGTCGGAATCCAGCCCAGGCCTCCTGACCCGTGTAACTTGCCCTCCCATGCTGGGTTCTCGTGGAGGGCAGAGGAGCCCGGATGTCCTCTACAGAGGTGGCCCCTGAACTGTATGTTCTTCTCCCTTCTCAGGCTTTCTGTGATGATGCGGTGGGACTGAAATTCAACCCTGTCCTGTACCCCAAGGTGAGATCTTCATGCCTCCTGCCATGGGGGTCTGCAGCTTGGCAGGGATTTGCAGACCCGGGGCTCCTTGGGGAGTTCTTTGCATCATAGTGGGGTTTCTTGGGGTCTCCATAATAAGCATTCATATTTCCTCTCTCCCTGCCCTGCCCTTCACAAACTGGTCCACTGGGAACCCGTCCTCAGCCATGCCTAGGCCTCCAGCCCAGTCAAACTGGTCCCCAGGCTGTTGTAAAGGTGACAGAGGGTGTAGCAGTGTTATAGCTTCTCCACCGCACCTCATGGTACCTCCCTGAGGCCAGTGCTGGAGGGGCTCGTGCATATCCAGCCTGCTGTCACGGAGGGGCAGGAAGTACAGCAGGCGGAAACTCACTAAGAAGTGAAAGTCCAGATAGCCACCCTGCCATTGCCTGTGTTACTGCAGCTCTCAGGCCTTGTGAGTCTCTGCTGCCTTCATTCATAAAATGGCTGGTTTTCCGATACCCGTTTCCTTTGAATTGGCCTGATATTGACTCCAGTTCTGATATGGGGGTGTGAGTGGGAAGAGGAGCAGCAATAATAAACCCACTGAAGGATCATTATGGCATGAGAGGACTTAAATCACCATGGACCATGAATTACTTGAAATTGGCCACAGGAGAAGACCCAGAGCATCGACTGCCTCTTCGTGGGCCAGCAGGCTCTGGAGACGGAAGTCAGAAGCAGAGCCGCGCTTCTGAGCTTCTGCCATGGGCCACGCTGCAGTGGCCGAGGCCTGCTAGGGTCGGCTCTGTCTGTTCTGAGTCCCAACTCTGACAACCAGGACCCATGAGAGGAAACGTCTGGTGAGGAAGAGAGGCCCCATCCCAGCGGAGACATCCAGAATCCCCTGGAATAAACTTTTTTTTTTTTGAGACATAGTCTTGCTCCGTCACCCAGGCTGGAATGCAATGGTGCGATCTCAGCTCACTGCAACCGCTGCCTCCCGGGTTCAAGTGATTCTCCTGCCTCAACCTCTCAAGTAGCTTGGGTTTACAGATACCCACCACCATGCCCAGCTAACTTTTGTATTTTAGTAGAGACAGGGTTTCACCATGTTGGCCAGGCTGATCTTGAACTCCTGACCTCAGGTGATCCGCCCACCTCAGCCTCCCAAAGTGCTGGGATTATAGACATGAGCTACCGTGCCCAACCGGAACAAGCACTTCCAGGGTTCAGGATTGGGCATGACACTCTCAGAAGCAGCCATTTATCCGTCTGCAGTGGCTGAGTGAATGGCGGAGTCCTCTCCTGCACAGAGCGCTCGTCTTCCACACGCCCGTGTTCAGCTCCTTTAGCATCTGTTGATACCGGGAGTGCTGCCTGCCATTGAACATTTTCTATCATGCAGACTGACCTCCCCTTTGTAATTCAAACCGAATTAGTGGGGTTTAACCAAACATGAAAACCCCATCCTAAACGTCTAAACTTAACTATAGGTTTGGCAGTTTTGGTTGTCAAATCATAGCCACTGAGAGGACCAATGATGTCTGTTTGCACCATTCTCTCCATGACTTGGAAAGCCTCCAGCCTTGGTAATAATGGAAGAGCAGCTGTATTTTCATGTTTTCTACATTTGAAGGACTTCTGAGTCCGGCTGGGATGTTAATCTGGCTGAAAGGCACATATGTGTGTGTTTTTAAAATTTGCAGAGTTTAGAACATTCTTTGGAAGTTCTCCATGGCCTGGTGCCTCACCCTGGCAGGGCAGCTGTTCCTCCCTGTGACTCACCCAGGCCGGAGTGGAGGGCTCCAGGTTGGGCAGCAGTGCCCTCTCTGGGGTAGCTGGGAAGTGTCCATTTCCCCAGACAGCTGAGAGCCTTGCAGAGGCTCACAGTGTGTGGCAACCTCACATGGGGCCCAGATTCCGGCCGAGAAGCTGCGCCTGGCTTGTTCTTCCTCTCGCATAACGTGTGATTGAATCCCTCCTTTTTTTTTTTTTTTTTTTTTT